AATTAGAGTTCCCTGTCTCACCAGAGTGTGGATCAAACACACACCCAAACACACACTTACAGGTACATAGTACACACACACACACACTGAACCTGTGTGTGTCTATAGATATTCATTTATACACACACGCTGTTTCAAGTGAAGGTTTTCAATGTCAGGGAGGACTGAGCACAGCTGGTGGAAAGAGACGACACATGCATACTAACGCGCGCGCGCACACACACACACACACACACACACACACTTCAGAGCTGCACTAGTGAGGACCCTCGTTGGCATGAAGTCCACGACTTTAACCTGATTTCAGAGTCTTAACCCCCCAACAATGTTTCTAGGGGGTGAGGACCGGACATTTTGGCTTTATAAGAGAAGTAGAGTCGCTTCTTAGACGTCCGTGCTTGTAAAAACACGACAATTTCACAAAGTAAAGACATTTTGAAAACAAAGGACAAACTGACTTTTCGTGGCATTTTCAACACGCTATACTTTGACTTCAAATTCTCCACATACTATATTATGATGTTTTTCTGACATTTTTACATACTATGACTTATTTTTATTACATCTTATACGTTGACCTTTATTGGCACACTATACTATAACTCTTTGACATATTTTTCCACTTCAGAACTATGTCCTTACTTAACACACCTCTACCTTTCACACGTCTCTACTTGACAAAATATGTTAACAGTGTCACTTTTCCCAAAAATGTCTTTACGCTCCAAAACAACAAATATTCACACATTTACACACCGACATGAGCTCAATGAAATATTTCCACACACTCACATGTGTGTCTGATAATGTGCACACATCAAAGGGAGGCCACAGTGTCTCTGTGTCTGCTTAATGTCTCCACTAATCTAGCCTGGGCCCCAACACACACACATGGTAGGCATATGTGTGTGTGTGCGTGTCTACAAACTTGTAACTCTGCTTTAAACACACGTGTATAGTGTTGTATCTGTTAATATGTAGTGTGTGTGTGTGTGTATATATCAGCATGAGTCGGCCACTATGAGTGCATCCGACTGTGTGTGTGTGTGTGTGTGTATGTGTGTTCGTGTGTGTGTTCGTGTGTGTGTGTTTGTGTGTGTGTGTTCGTTCAGGTACCTTGTACAGCGCCGTTGTCTTGCTGGTTTCCATTAAGTTCAGGTTTATCCTCGGCTACAGCAGCGTCTGGTACGGAACACAAAGACAGGACAGAGTCTCCGTGGGTTGGCCAATAAAAAACGAAATGCACATTGTAGGTGTGTGTGTGTGTGTGTGTGTGTGTGTGTGTGTGTGTGTGTGTGTGTGTGTGTGTCAACAACAAGAGTGGATTTAGAAAAAAGCCACAAACAAGTATTTGTCCAGAGAATTAGACATTCGGAAGGATAGAGTGATTCATCGTATTAAATAGCCTGTTTCTGTAATGAACATAAATAAAGTGATGGTGTCCTGAAGGATTTTACTTTTGGACTTTAGAACTCAGGATTCATTGGAATGGACTGTAATTCACATAGTATAACACTAATATTAATCTTAATATTAATAAGCGAGTAGTGAAAACAGATTTAAAAGCAAAGAGTCCGTCGTACCGTTCTTGTTGTTGTTGGTGGCGTGCAGAGGCTCAGGAGACGGGGAGGACGAGGACGAGTGCTTCAGAGTGCCCTCCACTCTCTCCCGCCTCTTGGACTCAAACTCCAGCGCCTCCTGCAGCTTCCTCTTGGCCTTCTTCTCCTTCTTCAGACGCTTCTGGATGGAGGCTGAGGGAGGACGACGAGACAGAGATATACGATCACGAGTGGAAAAAGTCCCAGAAGTCATTTTTAGTTTTTGGGTTCCTACATGAGATAACCAAAGCAGCAACTGCTACAAATAAAAGTTCCAAAATTGTCCTGCTTTATGTTCTGGACGTTCAATAAATGTGTTCAATAAATGTGTCTCCTTATCGTTGTTCAAATGTGTGTTTTATCGTGTTACTCTCGAACCTCGGCTCTGTAGTTCGGAGGTGAGCTGTCGTTCAAGACTCTCCCTCATCTCTCGTTCTCTGTAGAGCTCCATCTTCAGCTCTCTCTTCTCCGCCTGGATCTGTTTGTCCTGAACCCGGGAGTTCTCCACCGCCACCTTCAGCAGGCCCTGAGAGGAGACAGGAAGTAGGAGGAGTGTGCTTACGGTGAAAACAACCTTATTAGACAATCAGCTGTAACGTGTGCGACAATATGCAGACGATGAAGCTGAAGTCATGTCAAATTTTCAGAAATTGAAAACTTTCTGAAATTAAAAGTCTTGATGGATTCATGTTTTAGTATAATGCATCTTTTACTGTAATAATCAATATGTTATGAGCACTGCAGTCCATTAATAACAGTCCAATAATGAGTTTAACAACATGACCTGCACACTTATGTTTTTGGACTTATATGCCCAATTTAGTAGGTTTCAAAAGAGTATTTTCTATGATATGAATATAAAAAGTATATATGTATAAGTATATAATCCACTACTAACATATTTGTTATGTAATATTTAATGCTGCTTGTGTTTTGTCCAACAGTGATCATTAATGATCACAATGTTTGTGTTTTTAAAATTTACATGTTTTATTGTACATTTCTACTGTATACTAAGATTGCTGCTTGTTTATTTTTATCTCCTCTTATTTTATTTGTGCACCAGAACAGTTTTTTGTATGTGAAAACCTACTTGGCATTAAACCTGATTTTGATTATTTTTAAAAAGATAAAGAATGAACTTGTAATAACTTAGATCACAATAAATAAAGTGTTGTGATATAATATTGCTGTTGCATCTTCAATAATCCTCGATGATATTGTACCAGAGCAGTAAGACATTGAATACATCAGGACCTTACCTGTATGTTGGTGAGTAGGGTCTCCACTGACGACAGGCCGTCAGCGAATAGGAACGGAGCAGGGAAGCCAGGGGGCAGGGCTTGAGCCAGCGAAGACTCTTCTGGGAAGAATTAACAAACGGACGTTTTTTATAACTTTCTTCTTGACTTTTTATGTGACTTATATAATATCTCAAGTTTTATGACATACTGTACTGTGAGTTATTTTTATAGCATAATATACAATGACTTTATATGACGATACTATTACATTTTTATGACACGTTAGCCTTTGACAGACTGTACTATGAATTGTTTTCTTTCTGTTTGTGACATACTATAATAACATTTAATGACTAGTCACACATCTTTCTTGGCACATTATACTTTTTATGACATACAGTACAATACAGGACATTTAGGAGATACAATACTTTATAAGAGGTTTTTGTGACACTACTATTTTTTTGTTTTTTTATATTACATTTTTAATGTAATTTCTCCTCTTTCATTTTGATGACATACTATACTATGAGTTTTTAACACATTTTTGTCATGACTAATAATAATAAGTGTAGCCCTTAAACTAAATAAAATAATTGAAATAACTAGAAACTACTTTTTTGTCATGGTGATAGTAATATGCCTGTTTATGATCTGTTTTCTTTATGTTTTGTAAAAAATATAACTTATCATTACTCCTTCAATTTCCTGTTATTTAGAATGTAGCTGTTGAGTTCATTAATGGTTAGCTTAGCTACGCTAGCTGTAGTTTAGCTTTTAACAAACATCAACTTCCTCACTGAACTATCAGCAGGTGTGTTTCCTAACATGTCAAACACTTTGTGTGTTATTTTTGAAAAAAAAAAAAAAATGTTTGAGATGTTTTCCATCAGCGATACGCCGTTGCGAGCTTCGAGAAATGTTGATGTTTACTAAGGTATGAGAGGCAATGAAGCAGCATCAGAGAAATCAATTACACACACACACACACACACACAGGTCGTTAGTATTCAGACAATCGTGTGCGGTGCTAATTGGCACGGATTAAAGACATCCTTGATTTGCGTGTGTGTGTTCATTGGGAGTGCGTCACAGTGTCTGATCAGCCCTTAATGCCTAACTCACTGACAACTGGGTTAACTCTGCTGTGAAATTAACGCTGATTAAGATGCACTCTAATACACACACATACACACACACACACACCAGCCCCTATCTGCCACTTCATCCATACACGCCTTTACTCCACCTTTCCTCCCTCTCGTATCTTTCTTCCTCACCTTTTCTCCACTTTCACACGTGTTTTTTTTCCTCATCTTCATCTTAACAACCTTCATCATTTTCTTTTTTTTTTTTTTCCATCTCTCTTTCCGTCTGTCTTCTTCATTACTTTCCCTCCTGAAGCTTTCCCTCAATCACTCCAGTTTACCTGGAATATGATTTCCTGCTCTTTACTTTTGGTCAAGTCCACACAGCAGTGACCCTGTACATTAATCCCTTTGCACTCTGCACTATTCCATTATTGTCTTACAAATGTCATTATTGCTTTTTAAATATTTTGTATTATTATATATAAACGTTTTTTTACATATATGTTTGTTTTGCTTTTGTCTACCTTTGTTTGCTTGTTTTTAGCTGAAAGTCTGCGCGAGCAATAAAAGCAGCATGACTTTAATTCCTTCTGTGTGGTCACAGACTTGGCCAATAAAGCTGATTCTGATTTATTTTTATTGCCCCAAAATCACCAATCTGCCTCAAAGGGGCTTCTTTAATCTCTCCACTGTGATTTTATTTCCTGTTTTTCTTCTTCTTATGTTTTCTTTTCTGAGAGCGGAGTGGAGGAGGAGGATGAAATGAGTAAAAATTGGGATAAAATAAAAGATGAAGGAGTAGAGACGAGGGAGAGAACACGGAGAGGAAGGAGGGAGCGTTTAAAAGGATTAGAGAAGAAAAGGGAGAGAGGAGAGGAGAGGATTACAGCATGAGGGGAGGGAGGAGTAGAGGAAGGTTTTAATGAAAGTCAATGCTTTTATTGTGAAAAAGCAGACATTTTAGGAGGAATGGGTGTAAATACGAATAAATAAAAGTTGCAGGATTAAAAAAAACTTCACGCCAATCAATAAAATCTGAACCTCGACATCCGATAAACTTCCACTGGACTCAGATTCAAAGATGAAACACGTCGGAGGATTCTCTCAAACAGGTTCTGAGTATTCTGTGGCTCCGCTGCAGTAATACAGCCTCCAGATGGAGGAGCAACATTTCCTCGCCTGCTATTCTCCCCGGAGAAGAGCCGTAAACGCGCTCAGTGTCTGAGTGGCTTTTATGCGTTTTCTAGTTATCAACGTGAACTTGAAAAACCTCCAACGATACTTTAAGTACAGCATCTCTGACGCTCTGATGAGTACTAATACCTGTGAGCTGTAGTACTTTGTTGTGCTGGTGTCAGCTATAACCGAGGTATTTAAAGAACCCAAACATCTCAATTCAACCAGACATGTTGGTTGATGCATTAAACACAAGTTTAATCTGGGAACACATCCATGAGGTCATAAGAGTGATCGCTTCAAAAAGACTTCTTCAGCTGCCGTCTCTCTGGAGCCGGATGTTTCCATCATTACACATTAAATATATTTAAAGACCTCCGACGCTTAAATGTCAAATAGTTGTCAGAGAAAAAATAAACACTATTTAAGCATTTTTTTTCTTTGTTGGTCTGTGAGCTAATTTATCAAAACAATATTTCCCCAATGTATTTATACATATAGCTCTAGTATTAGTAATAGGGCGGGGAGATCATTCAAAATGATTATTTATCGACTTTCAATCATATCGCGATGAAATCATATATCTAGATATAAAATGATATTGTCTAAGTTGATTATAGGAAGAACATTCTAACTGAAAAAAATACTTCAAAATACGTTTAATTTGTTAAGTATGTAATTCACACACGACTTACAAAACCATGTGTTTATTTCATGAAGACTTTTTATTGAATTACCAGAAAACGAGCTATAACGTGATGTATATATATATATAAATAAATATATATTAGGGCTGGGCGATATGGGCAAATCTTCTTGACGATCAATAAATAAGACAATATGATTATTACAAATTGTTATTTTAAAAGTTCATCTGTCTATCTTAAATAATAATTATATATATACACACTTTTTAAATTAATAATAAAATAAATTATTAAAAAAATATTTTTAAAATAATAATAAGTTGTAATAATTATCTCTTATTTATTGAACGTCAATGTTTTTAGTCAACACAGCAAACAAAGAAAAGCACAAGTTTTATATTTGGTTGAAGAGAAAGTCGTCGACATCTGAACGCTGTGCCTCTGACGTGTGATCCACAGAAGAGCGGGTTAACGTCTCTCCTCGTCCTTTAAGAGGAGCGGGTTAACGTCTCTCCTCGTCCTTTAAGAGGAGCGGGTTAACGTCTCTCCTCGTCCTTTAAGAGGAGCGGGTTAACGTCTCTCCTCGTTCTTTAGGAGGAGCGGGTTAACGTCTCTCCTCGCTCTTTAGGAGGAGCGGGTTAACGTCTCTCCTCGCTCTTTAGGAGGAGCGGGTTAACGTCTCTCCTCGTTCTTTAGGAGGAGCGGGTTAACGTCTCTCCTCGTTCTTTAGGAGGAGCGGGTTAACGTCTCCTCGTTCTTTAGGAGGAGCGGGTTAACGTCTCTCCTCGTTCTTTAGGAGGAGCGGGTTAACGTCTCTCCTCGTTCTTTAGGAGGAGCGGGTTAACGTCTCTCCTCGTTCTTTAGGAGGAGCGGGTTAACGTCGCTCCTCGTTCTTTAGGAGGAGCGGGTTAACGTCTCTCCTCGTTCTTTAGGAGGAGCGGGTTAACGTCTCCTCGTTCTTTAGGAGGAGCGGGTTAACGTCTCTCCTCGTTCTTTAGGAGGAGCGGGTTAACGTCTCTCCTCGTTCTTTAGGAGGAGCAGGTTATTGATTCGTTAAAGAGGAGCTCCTCTGCTGACGTCGGCAGCTTCAGGAGCTCCGACCAAAAACACGTGTTGTAAGAACGGAAAATACAGAGCGAGTGATGGAGGGAGGAGAGGCCCCGCATGCTTTTAGTGTGTGACCTCTTGACCCCTTTTAGCCATGCCTCCTTCACTTAGCCTCACCTCCTCCTCCCTCCCTCCCTCCACCCATCTCCCTCTGCCTCCCTCGTCCATCCCTCTGATTGATGGCTCACAGACAGGTGATCAATAGGAGGGGCCGAACATCCTGACGCTTCTGTTTCTCTGTTTGTGTGTGTTTTCACTCACAGTGTGTGTGTGTGTGTGTGTGTGTGTATAAATACAGTAGATGAGGAAAGACCCCTAAGTGAGGACAATTTGTCAGTTGTCAAAACGAAATGTGTGAAGGTTTAGATTAAGGAGGGTAATGGAATATCCACACTTATATAAGACAGTGTGTGTGTGTGCGCGTGTGTGTGGTCCAACCTTTGTCCTTTGTTATTTTCTTGATGGGTGCAGTCGGGTTGTTCAGTCCAACATCTGCATCCATTGATATCAATCCTGTTGAAAGACAAAGTGAGTTTGTGTGTGTGTGTGTGTGTGTGTGTGTGTGGAGAAAAATTACAATTTCCGAAAGTGTTTTGTCCGACCAACACTTCCAAAGTCAAAGATATTCAGTTAAATATTAAAGAATACTGAAGAAAACAGAAAATATACACATCTGAGAAACTGAAGCTATTCAATATTTGCTGGAAATTTGATTTAAACAATTCTAAAATTAGTCGCTGAATAATTTTCCGTTGATCGATTAATTGATGAAGCGTTGCAGCTCTAAGCTACGGAATATATTGTCATATTTGCGTGTGTTTGCAGTTTGCTTTGTGGTGTGTGTGTGTGTGTGTGTGTGTGTGTGTGTACCAAGTCTTTCGGGCGAGCTGGAGGCCGAGCTGCTGGGCTGCGACTGCAGAGGAGTGTTGGTCTCATCAACAGATGGAGAGAGAGAGGGACTGTCACACACTCTCTCCTAGAGAGAGAGAGGGGGGGGGGGGAGAAAAAAGAGATAGAGAGTTAAGTTAATAGTTCTTTATGGAGGAGTTCCTCAGGGAACCTACTGAGGTCCTCTGTGGTTCTCATTTAAAAAATGTGTGTGTGTGTGTGTGTGTTGTACCTTGATGACGGGCGCCCGGTGTACGTGGGTGTGTATCTGCTGGGCGGCGGCGGCCATGTTGGCGATGGTGTTGAGGTGGTTCATCTGTGACATCGCCATTGCTACCGAGGCGGGAGGCAGCCCCATGGGCAGCAGAGGGTGAGGCATCATCATGAAGGGCAGGTCCAACCCTGGGGGAGACGGGAGAGAGTGAGACGGGAGAGAGTGAGACGGGAGAGAGTGTAACATTACCAAACACACAAAACTCTTTACAGCTTCTCTTTTGAAAAGGAAAAGTGTTTTTTTCTGTTTAGCGTAGTTTTTCTTTGTAAAACACCTTCGTCCACATTTTATCGTACAATCTGACATCTTCATTGCCAGATTGTAGACCGTGTCAATACCAAATATAATGTTTCAGTTATATTATGTTTTACTGATTGTTTTCCACACGTAAAGCAGAGACTTCCTGGAAAGAAGTATTAACACACAGTTTCCTGCTGAAGTACTAATACAACAATACCGTGAAATGATGCCTCTGTGACAACGAGAGAGAGAGACAGAGAGACAGAGAGAGAGAGAGAACTAAAAAACAAAAACAAAGATGGCGTCTGTGAACTGATGGCGAACTTAACCTTGAGTAAAGAGAGAGAGAGAGAGACAGAGAGAGAGAGAGAGACAGAGAGAGAGAGAGGTGTCACCTCGGTGTCAAACGTCTCGCTAATAAAAGTTGACAAAGCCGAGGGTGAGGGAGAGAAAGAAAGGGAGAGGTGAAAATATGGAGGTCGAAGGGTTAAAGGGTGAAGAGGCGAAAGAAGAGGTCAGTGTTTCTTCTCTTCTTCTCCGTCGTTCTCTTGAGCGTTTCCTTTCCTTTCACTTGCTGCCTTCTTTCCTAACAGTCTTTTTCTGTAGCTTCTCTTTTTGTTTAATCTTCATCTTTCTCTTCTTCCATCTCTCACTTTTCCCTCTTTTCCTTAGTTTGTCTTTTCCTTTCCTTCCTCCTCTCTTTCTCACACACACACACACACACACACACACACACACACACACACACACACCAGCGAAACACAGCATTTGTGAGGACGTTCCATTTACTTTCATTCATCCTTTAACCCCGAACCTCCTAAAAGCATAACCCTGACCTCAGATCCCCGCTGACCATAAAATAACCCCATTTTCAAAGGCATGCCCCCCCGCAAAGATGTTCACTCTGGAGAGAAGTCGCCTCAGCTGTCAAAAAAAAAAAACACACACACACCCACACACACACACACACACACACACACACACAAAGACGGCAGCGGCTGCTTTCATTCCAATGAAACAATAACACTGATTGCTGTTGTCGTGACGACTGAAGTGATAGAATAATCAATGTGAGTGTTTGTCGCCTCCCGCTGCCCAGTGTGTGTGTGTGTGTGTGTGTGTGCGCGCAAACACATTACTTCTGCAATAAGAAAAAGAGCGAACATGAGTGTGTTTGTTTGTTTTAGCGTATGTCAATATGTGTGTGTGTGTGTGTGTGTGGTGTTGATGAATTGAGTCATTTAGTAGAGTGTGTGCTGATTAATCCAGGCGGAGTGTTAATACGGAAGATGGGAACAGATTAAATGGCGTACATTAACAAATATTGCCACCCCTTTAAAACACACTGTGTGTGTGTGTCTCAGCGTGTTGTCTCTTTGAACACACACTGTGTGTACTCACTGTTGGCCAGTAGCTGTTGCTGCTGCAGGAGTTGTTGTTGATTGACAGCTCCGATGGCCGGCCCCCTCCCACCTCCTCCTCCTTGTGCTCCTCCACCTCCTGGTCCTCCCCCGTGAGCTCCAGCAGGGGGGCTGGTCAGACGCTCCTTATCCCAGGAACACTCACTTCCTCCTGGACACACACACACACACACACATCATGTGTTCAGGCTCAGGCTCCGAATTGATCGAAAACTTTAGCAGAGAAAAGTGAAAACGTGACTTTTACGTGTCATAAAGTTGTATATTAACGTCATATATTAACATATGAACGGGCAGATTCACCTTTAATACAACTGCTATAAAGTTACTCTGATTTGAAAGAAGCTGCTGGTAAATAATCAGCTGTGAATGTTCTAACCTGTAACCTCACTAAGTCATACCTTTAGCTGACGACACGCTGCTCTACGTTAACAATACTTGTGTAACTACGTCTACTTCCTGCCTCTGACTGGACTACAGTCATAAAAACCTGCTGGTTTACGGGACATTATGGGATGGAGATGCTCATCAATACAGATTCTGAGACCTGAACTTTCTTTTAGTAACGATGTCAAAATAAACTGTAAAAAATGACAAATCCTTTATTGTTAACCTTTTACTTTGTTATTGTGCTCCATAGTGGTCATTTTCATAAAAGCACACAATTTGTATTTACATATTTGCTTTGATCATTTGTAGTTTTGATGATGTATTATATGCTGATGAGAAGTTAAACAGCTGTGAAAACTTCTCCTTCAAATAACTGGATTTATTTAAGTTTCTTTCCGAAAACTACAAAAGATTACATTTTAACGCGTCATAATTTATGTACTTTTTGCAAAGTTTTGGTGAAAACAAAAACAAAAAACAGATCCGAGTGAAAATCTAACAGAGGAAAACATTTGAGGTCATTTAAAAACAAGAAATGACGTGAAATATTTTGTTACTTTGCATATATTACACACAAAATACATATTTGGTTTTTGCATCTCTGACCCGCAACAGACGAGAAATGTATTTCTAAATATATAATATTTATTGTAACTTAAAGTTCAGTTCACTTTTCACTGATCGGCTCTTTAACTAAAGACCGTTTGTCAATACAAGTATTTAAATTGTTGTCAACAGAGATCCTTACAAACACAGTTCAGTATATAATAGATGAAAAGTATTTATTAATCATTAATAAATGCTTTATAATGTCGGTTAATACAACCTTCTGATATTGATCATGAAGGTGAATATTATTAAGCAGTTTACAGGATAAACTTTCTCATAGAAAACAAAAGAGTGAAACAATCCCCCTTTCCTCACACCTTCATCCCTCTCTCTCCCTCCCTCTCTCTCTGTGTGTGTAACGCTGCCTCTCTCGCCCAACACATCTCTCTCTCTGCTCCCTTGTTCCCTCTCTCATCCATCTTCATCTCCCTCCATTAGTTTGAATTAGCAACCGTCTCTCTCTATTATTGCCTACTGAACTCCCTGCGCTGTGTGTGTGTGTGTGTGTGTGTGTGGATGACAGCTGGGCCTCATCCCCTCTGCCATTTACACCGAGGAAGAAAAGAAGTATAAACAGATGGGCAGATGTTTTCTCTCTCTCTCTCTCTCTCTCTCTCTCTCTCTCTCTCTC